GTTTACACCAGATTGTGAGTACCACTTATCTCTGTCAAAAAATGGTAGCTGCAAGAATCAAAAAGATATAATAGAGTTGATGTTAATTTAAACGAGCAAATAGGTAACTGATATAATGTACGTTAATCTGACAAACTCTCAAATACGTGGTGTCTATGATTCGTTTTACATAGTTGAATATTTAGAAATTCCAAAGCCTGGGTTACTCTTTTGTTCAATAGGTATTGTTTCTTGATTGCAATGTTTGGGATAAAAAGAGGAAGAAAAACACCATGTGTTTCTTCTCGAAAGGTATGCTAATGATTCTCGCTGATAATGACGACTGAAAACTTGAAATTATATGAAAAGTCCATCACCCTTTTTCGAAAACTAAATCACATACGGGTCTTCTGACGGTGAGTTTTCCTATAAGCAGGTTTTAATCCAAATTATACTGCACGGTACAAGACGATTTCATTGAATTTCCGCTTTCATAATAATCGATATTAGGCATTTAAACTCTTCCAGGTTAAAGTTCACCTCTTCGCAATCACCAAAACGCATGCACGGTCCTTTACACAGCATCGAAGTGACGAATTTAAAACTATATAAATGGAGAGGCAAAGTTAAACTATCGCTTGAAACTACGTAAAATTGCATCAGAAGAACATAATGGAGCTGCGGCAAGAAATCTATTGTTTCACGTTTTGATTGGATTCAAGAAAATCGAATTGTGTTTGTATTGATAATTTGTTACAATAAATACCAGCTTCATTAAAGCTTAGGGTGGGTGGGCCAAGCGAAATGATAGTAATAGTAATAATAATGATAATAATAATCGTTTTCATATTTTTTGTAAGTGCAACAATGTGTAGTTTCATAGGTTACGTTGTGCGCCCTATGAAACTTCTTTTCTTGGCATGCTGAAGTTTAAAAAACTGCGTCATAATAATAATAATAATAATAATAATAATAACTAATAACAAAATATATATAGCGCCATTTACGTTTAGCTCAATGGCGAATGATGAATTTTTCATTGTAACATCGAAGATTTTTAATGCACTCTGTCCAAATATTTATATTTCCGAAGAAAACGTTAATTAACATCATTGTTTTTGAACTGAAGAAAATTAAGTTACCATAAGGGAGGAAAATGATTTCCTAGTCCCCTGCAGGCACAAGGGTTAAAGAACCGTTATCACTTCGAGGCCTGGCCAAGGCTGAAGCAATTCATCGGAAAATATATCCCTGGCGACTGAAGGGAAACAGAATTCAGTAGATAATTGATGAGTTCACCGCGGTCGAAACTCACTAGATCTTGTTTATTTCTCGTTAATTACGAAAGTTCGACCTTTCAACCCTTACGATTTCGACCTAATTTTGATTTCTCAATTTTTCTGCACAAAGTCACGGGTCGAAACAAGTTGCTCACCAAAATTTCTTTCCCTTATATACCACTTACGTAAAATAAAGTTACGAGGTTAACGACACGTTAATGTGGCACCTTTTTGAAACAGATGTAGATCGTTCAAATATCTCCGTTCACTCCAATTTTTCCAGCTCCGTGTGGATCCCAGCTTGAATGTGATAACCAAAGAACTTGATTGCGATAACCGAAAAACCTCCAGGAAAGAAACAATATTTAATATTGACAGTAACACAATTCAAAACCGACATCGAAGAGGAACATAGAAGATCATTAATCAAAAACAGGTTTAATTTTTTTTGTAACCTGAAAGTGGAGTCACTTACACACTAAGAGCTAGCAGAGGAAACCTCACGGAACTGAAGCTGAGGTAAGACCTTACAAAGCCGGTCCCTCTAGAACTTTCAGCATAAGCGAGTAATGACAGAAGAAAATTCCACTTTTCGGTTTGAAACGCAACACCTACATTGTACAGGTTTTTTTTCGTAGCATTTCAATGAATCGCTACGTTGAAAGGAAAAAACCTCCATAACAATATTTCCACTAAAGAAATTCTGTATTGGATTTTTCCCTCTCTTTCATTGCTAGTTTTGCACATTGTGATTTTTAAGCGCTACAAAAGTCTCACTGTTGACGTTTTGCTTTTAGGTAATCTGTTTTTTATTTAGGTAAGCATTGTAGACGTGCTACAAAAGATCACCTCGGAAAGTTAGTTCGTAAACAACAACAAAAAAACATCCTAGAACGTGCAATGAAATTTAATGACGCGGTGCGTCTTTCGAAACCTTCTTTAAAGCATAATGGTTCAGGGTAAGAATTTTGGCGAGAACAAATAAGCTTCATGAAACGATACCTGGCTAAATTCCCGGATGGGCGGTGGCGCGGAAGGTAACCACCGATTCAAAACCGTAGCGAGGTTAGTATCAAGTTCCTATTTAGAGTACATCACGTTACGTGTATGTTTATCAAACACTGTAAGAGGACTCAGTCGATGAAGTCAGCGAGGTAGACCCTTGTAAGTTAAAAAGTAGAAAATGATCTCTGCTAGGTTTTTATTTCATTTACGTGAACTGTAGACGACAGTTTATGGTTTTATTTCATCTGCAGTCAGTAAAGGCCGACATTATGACATAAGTGTAATGCGATTTTATCTCGAGGCCCGTCATAGTTAAGTATTTCGATGTGCCGTGCATTGGGCAAGGAGCGTTGTCAATCACAGATATTAAGCCAATCAAATGAGGTCAGATCAAATAGCAACCAAGGTTATAGGCAAGGTCAGTTTCTCTCCTGGTCCTTCTCGCCTTCATTGCCATGGTGTTAACATCCGAACAGGGATTTTCGGTACCGTAGAAGAAATTTTTTCAGGCAAGTCTAACTTTCTTCCTTTCTTGGTTTTTCTCTTCTACTTTTGTTTCTTTTTTACCGTTTGACCTCAGCTGCGCAGGTTTTTCGGCCAACAGTTGGGGTGTAAGAAATGTTTTGACTGCGTGACATGTTGTGTTACAGCTTTAAGAATCGTTACTTTTGCTTTCATGTTGCTAAGTGATTGAACTATCGAATTTTGAATCATGTGACAAGTAGATGGAACGTAGGGCGTAGCTGAGATCTTCTTTCGTTGCTTGTGACATATTCTGAGGTTTCAGAGTATTAAACATGTTGTTTCTACAACGCAAGTCTTCAGTGGTGTCACAGGGAATTGGGGCCAGCAATTAGATTCCTTACAGGGGCATGTCTACCTCCACCCCACGTGTGTTGATTCTTTTATCAAGCAATTAAAGCAGTTCATTACGAATCATTCTGACGATTTTGATCTTTATCATTTTATCTCCTGTCAATCTCGTTGGCAAACCAGTGCGACGTCAAGCAACTTGTTGTCGAAGAACAAGAAACTAAAACAGTTCGAAATGATTTCCCAGAGTTAAAAACCTTTTGGGATGAGCAGCTGTCAATCATAAGCCTAGTCGAGAGCTTAAGTTTCAGTTGATTGCGTAACAAATCGAACACTACCGAAAGCTACCACATACCACATGACTACTGTGTCAAGAGATTCAGTTACAAAAACGCTCAGAATCAATTACTGCTGCACGCTTGCTGTAGGGTCAAATTACATTTCATAGTAGTAGCTTTCAATCAACAATTTAAAGTGTAACACTTCAGTGCTTGAGTCTTCAAATAATATTGAAAGAAAAAATTCAACGCTAAAATTCAAAACCCGGTTCAGTTCAGGAAAAAGCTTCAAGTCTCGTATCGTCATTTGAACGAAAGTGGACGAAACCGAGAAACATTTAAAACTACGGATTAACTATTCTTGGATGCTGTTCAACAAGAACAAAAGTCAATCTAAGGGATGCTTTCGATTCCGCTTCTCTCTTATCTTTCGATTGCGTTCGTTTCTTGGCTCAAGTAATAGTCCTATCGAAATCATATCGTCGTCGCTTGCGGGAAGTTTTCCACACTTAAAAATTTAGCGATTCGAGAGTGATTGAGAGAATGATGGAGGGAAGTACAAATTTCATAAAACAAAGAAACATTTTGAATAAACATCGACGAATTTAACCGCCGACGTGCATACATGGCACATGAAATTTTTGTCTTCCACAAAGTTGACTTATGGACAAAATATTCCAGAAAAACGCAAATTACATAAAGAAATTATTGGAAAATTGCTATTCTAGGTGCAACTAGTCATGATAAGATCCAAGTAATCGTATCGCCAATGTAACGGAGGGGATCTTCCACCAAACACTTCGAGTCTCCGAAATTCGGGATAAAATAAACTCTAAAGAAGATAAAGACTTACTCAGCGCGTCATTTGCATAATAAGACGATCAGAACGTTTGCTTTGCACTCAACGAGGAATAAAGTTGGTTGGATCAGCTTTAAATTCCCTCTGGTGACAGGCGACATGAACCTGGTTATTTCAGGAAGCACATGCGTATTAAAAACGATCCTTCACTATCTTAATAAACTGATTAAACCAAAATCCAAGCGGTCTGTTCCCTTCTGTTTTGATATTGAAATGACAATTTACCATGAATTGTTATCTGGGTGTGAGCAACAAACCGAGATGAAATCATTAGCTAACGAGGCGTTCCACAAACGGGCTGTAATCATATTTCCTTTGGGTGGTATGGCAAAGGTTTGGCCACTTTTATTACGCCGTCAAACGATCTAGGCCACGCGAAAAAAAATGTCAACATTTGCAATCAAATATCGGCTAATTAGCTATGATAGTTTTCTTTTCTTCTGTTTATTCAAGAAAGTGAAGCACTCCCGCTATGGCAAACTTGAATTATTGGACTCTATTTGTGAAAGCTGAAGTCCTCGATCGTCAATTTTGGAATTTTTTTTTTTTAACCAGGACCCAAGGCATTCAGTGAAACTCTTTGAAGGGACTGCCATTCTTAAGAGGTGCAAAAGCTGAAAACATCTTTAAACGCACAGCAATCCATTCTTTTGGGACATCAGAACATCTAGAAAAACAAGTCCAGCTCTCTCCTTAAAAAAAAAACCTAATGCAAAAATAATTGTATGTAACTTGAGATTGTAATGACCTTTGAACGTCATCGTCGTGTTTTTTTTTATTACATAGGTCTCCAGTTATCATGGGAAAGAAATTTCATCAAAGGCCCTTCAAGATCACTGATTTGTTTGGGAACGATTTCTCTATGTGCAAACAAATGGTCCCACTTCATCTCATCTTGTTGTGGGCGGCACTACAGTTTGAACCAGGTTCTTGTTACCCAAGGCGATTCCATCGACCCGGTAATGTAACATTGGGAGTCATCTTACCACTTCATGTGAAAAACTCAGAGGATAAATGCGGCGAATTTTATCCGCGTGGACTCGGTTTCATCGAGGCGATCACGTTTGCAATCGACCGTATCAACAACGACACCAACCTACTCCCCAACGTCACACTAGGATTTGACATTCGAGACTATTGTGATACACCCGTTTTGGCCATGAGCACAGCATATGACTTCGTTAAAAGCAATTACTTGAATGAGTTGCCTGTAATAGGCTTAGATAATCTAACGGATCCCATATCAGCAGTTATTGGCGCCGAGGATTCCAGCAGTAGCACTCTGATTTCGAGTCTTCTTCAAGTGGTTGGTATACCAACAATGAGTCCGTTGTCGACCAGCGAGGAACTTAGTTCTCCTTACTTTAGCACATTCTTTCGCACCATACCCCCTGACGGAGAGCAGGCAAAAGCCATGGTGGATATTATAGAACATTACGGGTGGACGTACATCGCAGCCGTCGCTATCGACAATTCGTACGGTCGATATGGGTTACGCGCTTTAGAGAGAGAAGCGTACGACCGCAGGACGTTTTGCGTCGCGTTTTCCGAGTACTTTACGTATTCCAGCGACAAACCCTT